AAGAATCCACTGGTATATTCTTGCGCACACAGACAACTCTTACCCAATCGCTTCAGTAGTAACCTGCTTTGCACATCAAATTATAACAACGTTTGCCAGTGAATATTTATCACTAATAATCATCGAGTGCCCCCTTAAATTGATGGGAAAATGTTCCTAAATAAGTAACACGGTGAGAAAAATGTATTTTAACATTTTCATAACAAAATTAGAAAAGTATATAATAAAATTATATTACCAATTTATCTAAAGTTTTTTACATGTAAGAAACTAGTCTGCAAGTCTAGAAGTTGGAACCTTACTCGCGAATTATAACTAATATTTATCTTTTTAGTTGTTTGATATATGTCGTAGTTGTATATCATGTGTGATAATATTATAAATAATCGTGTCATTTATACAGGTATCGTAGTTCACAGAAATCTTTAATGTTCGCTATTTTGTAATATAACTCTTTATTATGTTAATCTATTATCTTTGTATTACATTAATGTAAATAAACAAAATAATTTAAGTATTTTGTTAACAGACGTTTATTCTTGAAAAATGTGATGTTCCTCCAAAGATAAGTGTTGGTACATATTGTCTAAATATCTTGTATATTTTTTATTTAAATTAAATGGTTGAACATTAAGTTTCTTAAGCAAATAAATTCTTAATAGATTAGTAATAATTATAAAAACATGAAATATAATATTCGGATATTCTGCATTCAAATGAAATAAAAGGAATACTTATTACTAATATACAGTTTATCACAAATACGTCAGTATTTATTGATGTCACTCCATTTATTTAACCCCCGCACGGCTGAGGCTTTTTGGATGTAAATTTATGAAGCTCGACTCCACTGTTTGCTCGACATACGATACCTCGATCAATGTTTGTGTCGAAGCAGAATTTTATTTTATTTCGATGTATATAGCAATTCAGTGTGTCGCGAGCAAGGAGGGATGTTTCTGCGCTCATCTAAAATACATCAAAGGTCTATAATATTATTTTGTTCTTCGATTTGTATTTATATTTGTACGATACATATTTCTGAAATAAAAAAAAAGAATTTTCAAACATAAGAGGAAGTCGCGTAGCTCACTTGTGGTCTAATTGTAATTGTTCACGGCCTCCCATCCGAGGGTTAAATATTAAATGTTAACAGAAATTATTGAATTATTATTAATGTGAAGATGTATTAAGGTCCGCCATATTTATTAATAATACGACTTTATAGGAATAATACACATAAAGTTGTATTGTACAGAGTATATAATTCAAATACTTAACATATATTCTTTTTAAATAATTTTGTTTAGCACTTTTTGAAAAATAAATTGATTAAATAAAATTCCGATAAATAATAAATACCGACGATAATTACATTTGAATATAAGAGATGATGCGAAGTACTCTTAATAAAGGTTCGTTTAATTATCATACGGAAGTATTAAATATCGACAAATAATAAAATCGCAATTGTACCGAAATATTAGTCGAATACGCGTGTAGTGTATAGCTATATGTTTTTAAGTTGTATAATATTTTTAAAATTTAAGATATGTTCCAATTGGTATTTAAAAGAAAATAAATGCAGTATACTATCTTGTTCTGCAATAATAAAATATAAACTCTATTAATTTAAACATCATTCGATGTATTACATTTAAAGATCGCTTACCTAACATGTTACTATAACTTTGTTATGAATACTGTGTTAGCTGGAAACAAAATTGTATCTGACAAATGTATGTCCGGAGCAAGTTCCCCAATATTTGTTTTCGGAAATGGTACCAAATAACTATGGTCAGATGAGACATAACCTAAGCTTCCCATTTTATTTATAAAATCCTAGAAAGTAAAAACTGATGTACACCGTGTTACTACTACATTTAGTAGTACAATTATAAAACTTACTTCTATTGTATCTGTTGCACACATTGATAATGTTTCTTTTTTACCATTTGGCAATCTTAAACAGAGTCTTATAGATTCGCTATCTGTAGAAAAAAAATTACTCTTAAGAAGTAACTTATATGTAAGTATAATACAAAATTGGAATATAATGGTTTCTTACTAGTTTTAATTTTGTTCAAATCACATTTTGATTCGCACGATTCAACCTAAATAAAGTGTTTTATATTATTTATTATGCACTAATTGAAGTAATGTAATTTTCCCTTTCTCTGGAAAGACTTTGTAAATATACCTTTGCATTGGTATCCTGACTTTGTTTTTTCAAATCTGACTCGTCCATTCTCCTTTTTTTATTTATATTTTCGGAAGCATTAGTCGATGTACTTGAACTTGAACTTAAACTCGAATTTGAACTTGAACTTTGAATGTTTGCTATCCCATTGTGACTATCTATAAACAGAACAACTTGCAGAGAAGCATACATTTAAAATAAATATCTTTTATGAATACAACTTACCCAAATCATTTAAATTGTCAATCACGTGTTTGGAAGTTCTAGTGCTACTACTACTACTACAATCCTAAAAGTAAAATTTTTAATTTTTAGCAATCAAAAGATCATAATAAATCGTAATTGAAGAATAAAAAATCATACACTCATCATTGGATTTGACACAGAATTTTCATTTGTAGCTGTTGCAGTGCAATTGTTCCATTTTTTAGAACTAAACGATTCACTTGATACACATTCTGGCGATGGATGAGTACTTAGCATATCATTTAAAGCAGACATTAAAATATCAACGGTAATGTGATTATAAATTTGCATACATTCTCCTGTTCTGGGATCTATTACAGCTAAGTAGGGATACTCAGATACATTGTAGAAATCAATATAGCGTTTTCCATCATTAGTATTGGACAAGACCTATTTAGAAATGCAAACATTGAATATCTACACTATACATATGTATATTTAAATTAAAATACAATTAACTATAACTTACTTGCCACAAAACGAAATGATCCTTTACAATTTCTTGAATCTGCTGATTAGACCACACATCTCTATTAAGTATTTGACAGGCAAATTCTTGAGAATTTTGAATATTTACAAGTAACCAGCGATTTAATGACTTTGCATGTTCACGGGCTTCCAAAAAAGAGCCCAGGAAGAGGATGCTGCATGGTGGTCGAAATAAATCTTCCAATCTCTTTGATTTACGTTGAGAGAATTGTTTGACTCCAGCTACTCTACGAGCCAGTTCTTCTTCTTGTCGTTCTGTATCAGACATTTTAGCATAATAAATATTTATGACGGATATTATCTAATATTGAATAGAATTGTTCATACTAACGGGTTTCTACTGCAAAATCCCTGAATCTATCAAACACATTATTTGATAACCTTGGGAAAGAACAAACTGGATCGGACGGCACTAATATTTCTTGGGTAGGTAAAATAGGAGGTCTCACTTCTGATTCAGGTTCTACATGTTGCTGTTCAGGTGCTTGAGCTCCCTCAAACATTAAACTTATTGCAGCTTCTACATTCCCATCAGTCAATGACAGGTATTGACGAGCTGTAGCTTCACTCTCTCCTAAAAAAAAATCAGGATAAAATCATTAATTCAAAATGCTTTATATGTTAGTAAATAATAATAGTAACGATGATAAGTACGTCTGTTATTAAAATAATATAATGACAGTAGTATACAATGAAAACGAGATGCACCAAAACGATAACAAATTATACGTAAAGTAGAACGAAATTGTGCTAGTTGAATTTACAGTTTTAACTTACGTCTGACTATAGCAATACTTACCCGTCACTTCTACGAATTTTTCGACAAGTTCTGTATCCATTGTACCCTCAGATTACAAAAGTATTTGTGATGAAACGTAACAACGTCGACGTAACTCGTGAAGCAATATCAACCAGTTGACATCTCGAAATATGCACGAAATTGAACAGGGCTCTCTGCTGCATCCAAGAGGATCACAAATTCAATATCTTCAAGCTTTTCAACTGCAACGACGCGATGCAACTATGTATTCTCGACGCATAAACAGTTGTCCAGACTGGTCCAGACTGCAGTTTATTGTTACCAGAAACTAGAATTTCATGTGCAAATTTGAAATTCTTTTTGAGAGTCATTACATTACATCACAAATAGAAACTCTCTAATTAGAGTCACGAAATAACGTCAATATTCAACTAATTCTGCGAAATTTAATTTGAAATTAATTGAATGATTCAATATTAATATTAATAATCTATATTGATATTTAACTAATAAATAAAATTTTTGTTTAAATGGAATATTGTTATTTTAATTAGTTGGAGAATTAATTGTGAACATTTTCTGGTTATAAGTGATACAGTCTCCAGTAACGTCATCAGTGATGGTTATTCCCTGCATTCTTTGAAAATATATATATTTTATCTATTAAGAATATATTTGTATACGTTCATTGTCTTATGTTATTCATATTTCAATAAAAAATACAGGTTAATGGGATTTATTGCGACGCATACTTGATGCCTATCTCAACGATATGGTGTGTATTGATTGAAAAGATGATAAAATAAAACAATGTAACAATATATTATTTTATAGACATTCATAGTTGTTTAAAGTTTATTAAAACGAAATATTTCAAGTTATAAACGCATTTTAGAAAGAATTATTTATTGATTACAAAACTGCATTCAAATTTCCGCGCCCTTTTTCTTCAACCTCATAGCCATCTAGCGGTAGAAATGACGAATTAATTTTCGGACTTTGATCAGCGCCTCTATCGGGAAAACGCTCAAGTTTGTCGCCGAATAGTTCCTGTGTGCACTGCTAGATGGCGCCATTTAACGGTGCACGTAGGAACTATTCGGCGACAAACTTGAGCATTTTCCCGATAGAGGCGCTGACTAAACTCCATAAATTAGTTCGTTATTTCTACCGCTAGATGGCTATGAGATTGAAGAAAAAGGGCGCGAAAATTTGAATGCAGTTTTGTAATCAATAAATAATTTCTCACGAAATGTGTTTATAAATAATGTTAATAATTATAAGGGGAAATTAAACACATTCATGTACATGTATGCTTATTTAAATATGTATTTGTGAAAATATGATATACATCACGTAGAGAAGATCTCACGTACATCTTTAAAAATACAGAGGTTATCAATGATTGATTTTGTTAGGATCGTACTTTGGACGGACATATAATGCTTTTGGATAAAACAATGATGATTCGTATCGGGAAGACTAGGGAAGTATTTGCATATATTTTTCGACACTTAAAAGCGGTTGGCACAAATATCGCACCGTATCTCCACCCTTTAAAACATGTAAACCTTATAATAAAATATTTCGTTCGAACGATAACAAAATACTATAAGTTTAATAAAAGTTTATACAATTAAAAAAAAGCAACGAGAACCACGTGCAAATTACTTAAATGTTACGTTCTAATTAGGAAACGAGAAATAAATTAAAGCGCGTGTACTACAAGATAGTCAGTTGAACGACAGACAGTCAAACAAATATAAACTGATCGAAAGAGATTGAACGTGTGCTATGCAATTATCACTAATCACGTTGCCAAGCGTAATTAACCTCGACAACGGGAAACATCGGGACGGAAGAGCGAATTATCTATTGGTGTCCAGGTGCTGACAGACGTCTCTGTGACTGGTACGGATTTTGCAATAAACGCGGCGAGCATTCGATTACTCGCAATAGTAGCGCGTCTATGTAATCTTCCAAGTCGTTTAGACGTTTCTTTTTCTCTGATACTTCCGCCTGTAGTTGCAGCGTCAACTCAATGAGGTCCTGCGTTTCGAAAACATTAAGAAAACAATTATACCGGATCTAACATACGTTAAAGAAGGATGTAGAAAGTAGAATTACCTCTCTCGATTTTCCTTCGAACTGAGTAAGAACTTCGTGTGGCAGATGACTTTTCGATAGCGTCGTACTCTTAATCGCGTCCTCGCCACCGATGATAATTCTCTCCGAAGATAAATGGTTATCGTCGATCAACTCTTTCAGTTTATTCTCCTTCTCTTTTTTCTTGTCCTTTCGATTCTGCTTTTCGTCCTTGGGACTCCAACAGATGTATTTGTCATCCTTCTTCTCTCTAGATTTTTCCTCCTTGACATTCTTTTCCTTGTTCGACGCAGGTTTCTCATCCTTCGTCTGCGTCTGAACAATTTCCCGCGGTGCTGGCGTCGGCGGCTCTGGCGCCTCTTGGAATCTTAACGCCAACGAAGGCGAACTTGCAGGCGAAGGTTTGCGATGATTATCCTTTGGCTCGTCGATCACGACCTTTGGGATCGGCTTGCTCTCCCATCTGAAAAATCGTTCGATGTACAAAATAAATGGTATTGAAAATCTCTGCTACAAGTTTCAATATCTAGTTTTGGCATGTTATAAAAATGCTCACCTCCTGACGTTACTAGGTGTTTGCTTTCCATAAAGCTTCAGACCCCATTCATCTTCTTTCATGCTACTAAGCTTCGATAAAGACGTGGTGGAAGAACTCATGGAGAATCGGGGTGGTTTGCTCGGCGCAGTATTTACTGGCGCTGGTGGTGAATGATGCGTGTCATTGGAATGATTGCCGGAAGAGACGCTGGACGCTACCGAGCCCACACTGTTGCTGTTGCCACCGAGTACAGGAGCGTTAAGGGACGACGCAGAGCTCTTGTGCGACAAATCATCGAACTGAAGAAATGCAATGTTAGTTACAGCGATCCTAGACAAATTTCTTCTTCTATATTTGAATAAAGTTTGAAGTCGAAAGTAGATGATCCAGCTAGCCTACCAACCATGAATTTTAACTCACCAGAAATTCCAAAATTCATAAATTGATCTTTTGGTTCTTGATTCTCAAGACAATAGTAAATTAAGTTAGCAGTAGTTTTTCTCTAGTAATAGCAATTCATGTAATACCGTAAATTCGTCTTCGTCCTCGCTGATGACGCCAGGATCGGCCTCGCCCGGTTGCTGCCGAGTGATTTTGAAGTTGTGCTCTTCCTTTTCGTCCAGATTGTCCACCTTTTCGAGATTGTGTTTACTTTTCCCTTTCACGCGATTCCCGATGGACTTGGCCAACTTCTTCAAGCCTTTGCGCTTCTCCAAGCTTCCAATGCTGAGGAGGCTTCCGCCGATCGAATGGGCGGCGTTGGATAGTTGACCGAGGGAACTTTTGTGACGCTCCTTGCGGCTCAAATCGGTCAGGCTGCCAGCTTTTACGATGAAACCGATCTTCACTTCGAGCTCGCCTCTCTCCTTCGTATTCTCCTTGCCTGGCTTGTGTCCAAGGGTGTACCTAACATACGATTCGAAATTGACGTATAATGTACATTTTACATAGAGGAAGAGGACATGATTCCGAGACATGAACAGTGGGATATGCATGGGAACTTTCTTACAGGAGATATTCCCTTTCTCTTTTCTCATTTAGTTATAGTGCGCAATGGAGACGGTAATCGTACGGCAGACATTTATCTGAAGATTGTTACAACTTTCCAAAACACCATGTGTGGATACTATCATATCCATTTACTTTCATAGCCTCTATACCTACATCGCACAACCTGAGAAGCAATCGAATTGGGAATCGGGATTTTACAGCTAAAAATCATCGATTGTTTGTTCATAAAAGTACTATAATTTCTGTTTCAAAACTTGGTTTATTCTAATCACTTTATCTTAGAGATCCCTACTTCACGTGCACGCACATTGCCTTGAACATTTATTTTAACTAATAAATGAAGTATTACAAATTACACTAAAAAATGTAGTCTGTTATATTTATTCTTCTTATGTTTATATCTTTTTTATTTATTCGTTTTATTGCTTGTGAATATTTTCAAAATTAATAAGGATCATTATTTTATGTAGAATAAAAGCCCTTTTTTTACATAAAAGTTTGTATATAAACCTATGTAATTAGATACTGTAGCCGTATAATTCGATGTATGCGTACCCGTGTATTTCGATGCACGTGTACGTACCCGGTTACCCGCGTATTAAAAATACCTGTGTTCTTAATTCCTTGATACACGGTACACGTGTTCCGTGTACTTTAATACCCGTTCAAAACCGTGATCTCTACTTTATCTACATCATGTTCAGAAATCGTTCAATGAAATTTTGTATCGCTGAAGATAGATACTTTAAAACGCCGGTAACAATCATTTAGGAGAACCTACATCTTAGGCGAAAAATGTTCCGAAATAGATGCCGTATTTTCAGGCTTCTTAGGTGTACGTAACCCGTTGAAAATAACGATCCTAACCACGTACCATCTATTCTTGGGTCTCTCGTAAACGTCAAAGGTAGACAGCGGTATACTGATGGTGCCGAGGAACTGGTCGATGCCCAGGAAATCACGATGAAGGGCCGTCAGTACTATTTCCGCGGTGTTCCCTTGCTCTGGGATAGTTAATTCGCATTCCTCGTGCCATTCCACGTCCTTCGATGCCTTCTCCTTCACGGACGTTTGATACTTCTCCTTACCGAGGGCGATCGTCACGAAACAGTCGTTGGTTTCTGCGTTTATTAGGTTTAAGTGACTTAACGTAGGTGGAGGTAGACGGTCAACCGTAAGGTCGGGACTAACGAGCTGTATAACTGGAATTAAATCTCGCGAGAGACCGTCGCGATCCATTGTATACTTATTGTCAGCATAAATTACAATGGCGGAGTCCACGACCTCTGCAAGGTTCGCGTCCGTTGGTCCAAAGTAATCTCTATCGATTCCAGAATAGTTTAAATATTTCTACTTAAACTGATGTTATAAATTATCGAATATAAAGGTACAGAATTCATTTCTACGCCATATTTGGACCAAAGTATAATCTTCGGTGAATAATCTTCAGAGTGTAAGCAAAACATTAACTCTTTGGGGCACGGTGGGATTAAAAATGTCCCACCATGCATTACCGTCCATCAAAAAGGTGGGACACTTTTAATCCCACCGTGCCCCAAAGAGTTAATGTTTTGCTTACACTCTGAAGATTATTCACCTGGAAATTTTGCAATAGCTGCATGTGTATAGGTTTATATTTCGTCTTATTTACGTAATGCAGTTGGTAATATATTCATCCAATGTTACAAATGTATGCACTTATGTTGGCAACTTTCAACGTGCTAATACCGGTTCAATAATTGTTGTAAGCGGAAGGTTTATTACGATAATATTTCTTTCCTGGTTTTATGTGAAATATCGTAGATGTAAGTTAATTTATATAAAAATTAATTCTATATAAACACGCGAAGTGTTTTATAATAAAAACTAAAGATTAAATTTGTTTGCAAATGACGAAAGTATCGTGGGACTTTATTCGTCCCACCATGCAGCTTGGGGAATAATACAAAAAAAAAAAAACATATTTTTATTTATTATGTTTTAATATTCTTAAAACTATAAATGTGATTTGAATATAGCGTAGGTAATTCTTGACTCTTCAGCTTCGAAATGCAAAGAACAAATCCATAACAATTTCGTTTGATTTTTAAAACGCAATAAAATTCCTGTGCCGCAAAGAGTTAATCTACCAAAGTAGGTATCGCAATTACGCGCCCTTTTTGAATAAATAAAATAAAATTTGTAAACGCTTGTTGCTACGTTCAGCGTTGGACTCGAAGGAACGGTAGCCTCAGGAATATTCCCGAGCGCAAAAGTCGTGAGACCGTGTCTACGCGACGGAGTAAAAAAAAAGAAGAAAACAAAGAAGAAAGAAAGATAGTCCAAATTCAAAGGTCGAGACGTTTATTACAACTAATAACATGGATCTACAAGCATCGTCTTCGTTTCTCTGTTACGTTCCCCTTTGTTCTAAATATATTTGAATTACTTAACGACGCGTGACTCGCGCTTGCAATTCGATGGATTACGTTTGTTACTTTTGTTGCGCTACTTTTCGTTACGTGTGCCCCAGTATTTTTTTGCCCGTTCCGCGAAATTCGACTCGCGTGTATGGTAGGAACGAAGCAATAATTACGAACACGTCGTGAAACGCAGGCCCGATTTCCATTGTTTTGAAATTTGACTCGCTTCGATGAGCGGATCGACACGAGCAAGGACGTCTGTCGCGCCTAATAGGTAAACCTTGCATTATGGAATACGGCGACGCCGGTACTTACTGTGTTTTCCTTTGGTCAATAAGTTTCTGGCTCTTTGAACTGCGAACAAAGAAGAAAAAAGATCTCGTTAGTCGTTAGCAAAAAAAAAAAAACGATTATCGATCAACCGATGCCTAATGGCCACAGACTTCCTGTGCGACGCGCAACACTATCCGGTTGTTTCATTCATTGTTACTTTCATTTGAATTCATAATACGGTTTAGACATGACAAAGCAATAAACGCGTAAACAAATAACGGTAGCATTCGCGATAGAAGCGTAATGTAACGACAGAAAAGAAGATAAACAGATGTAGGCGTAACCGCGGATCGATCTTTCGTGTTCGTCGTGTGAAATATTGGGTTGTCTGAAAAGTCCGTGCCGATTTTTAATAAGCGGTACAGGTCTGAATATATCGAAATGGTTGAAAACAAATAACACGTGGATATCCCCTTAAAAAATGGAGAAATTGTGGAACCAAATGGTACATACATAATTCAATAAATGTTGGGTTGTCGAGAAAGTCATGACGTATTTTTTCTTGATTTTTCAAATGTTGTTTATTTATATAAAGGACAAAGATCAATCAATGATACATAGCCCGTTTTGTTCGATAACCTTTCGCCACCATTCAGTGAGTTTCATAATTCCTCGTTTATAGAAGGACCTGTCTTTATCGGCGAAAAACTGACCAAGGTGCTGATTAACAGACTCATCGGTAATCGAACGTTATATCACGCAAAGAAGCTTGAAGAGCACGAAACAAATGGAAGTCCGATGGCGCAAGATCTGGCGAGTATGGTGGGTGTGGTAACACATCCCATCCAAGCTCCAGTAATTTTTTAATTATTCCTTTGATTTTGTCATCATCAACCGCGATGGGTCTCCCTGACCGAGGAGCATCGCTGGGATTAAAATCACCAGCACGGAATTTCGTGAACCATCGTTGGCACTGACGTTCTTGTAAAGCATTGTCACCGTAAACTTTACGCAACTTTTCGCAAGCTTGACTTGCGTTCTTCCCTTTATGGAAGTAAAACAATAGAATATGGCGATAATGCACAGTTTGATCTTCCATTTTCAATTTATCGTAAAATTTTCCAAACTCAACCGAGTCGATCAGTCTTTTGTTTAGTACGAAGCTAGAGTTCTTAGTTGTCAAATGACAGCAATCACGTGGTTGCAACTGACTCCAGTACGGCCAAAAGTAAACTATCGTCACCTGTTGCAGAAATGCGTCACGACTTTTCCGACAATCTGATATACAAATATATATATATGTATATATACTGTATATCAAAATTCAAACGTGTCTTTGAATGTTTCTTAAAAATTGCCACGAACTTTCTGGACAACCCAGTACAACAATAATGCGATCCGATCGAACCGTGAAGCCTAAAGATACAAATTAAGATAAACCACGGGTAAATTCCGACAAGTTATTAAGATCATGAATTCACGGTGTTTATTTTTTCCCTGTGTATATGCATAGAAGAAGTTTCTCTTTCTCCCGAGAGCTGCTTTCAGAAATTTAGGATAATGTTTTGTAAAACGGCGTCATGGCTGGCGAACATAATCACCCGCCTTCCTATCGCGGTAAAAGCGTTGAACGTATCGGTTCCCGCCCATTATTCGTTGGAATTCTAACCACGAAACCATGCTTCTACCGCATTGTTGGTTCATTATTTTCGACCACCTTCCACGATAGTACTTTTTACTCGAGGAATTCTATGCTCAACACGTTCCCAACCGATCACGAATAAACGTGTAACAACGATACAGAATTAATTAACAATCCGTACGGAGAATGAGCGAACATTTTATTCGCCGTATTAATCCGTTTGCATTATTAGACAGACAGTCTCATTTATTAGGTCGTCCCAAAAGTTTCTTTCGTGAGTTGCATTCAATTATTTTCTGTGCCAGTGTTTATATAAATAGACAATTTAATTTCTTAGACATTGATGCTGTAACAGCAATGGAGCGAAATGAATTGTACACAATTTTGTAAAGTAACATAAAACATAAAATATTGTGTATGAATTAATTATTAATAAAACGAAAGAAACTATTCGGACAACCTAATACGTGAAAAGATATTAAATCTGTGATTTAATTGAATCTCTTCAATAGACATACAGAGTACGAATACTTATAAGATTGATTCTATGCGTGCGCATTTGTTTGGCGTTATATAACGTATTTTGTTTATCACAAAAAAAAAAGAAAGTACATATATATCTTATCGTGTCGTGCAAAATAGAAAATTTAGCTGGAGTTGGAAAAATTGAAGCCAAGCCACGTTATTAATATACCGTAGCATCGACACACCGTGTTCTATTTAATGTACCGTCTCGTACGTGTTGCACTCTATATTCTGAATGACACGAGTTACTTCCGCGAGTCTTTGTGAGAAAAATATCAGCCGTTCGCAGTACCGTTTCTTCTTCGACGAGCCTCGTGAATATCGTTTGTAATTATGCTCGTCTTCGCACGCGAGTACATTGTTTAGCAATTGAAAACACACAGGAATATTTTTCCCCGGTTCGTATTAATTGATTCTTTCATTAGAATAGTATGCACAGCGGCGTATTATATTTCCACGGGGCCTCGCGGCAAAATGGAATTTTTAAGCCCCGTTACCACACATTTTTAAACTCGATCTTGTTTTGATTAATTGTTTTTTTCTTGTTAATTTCGCAACTTACATAAATAGCTATTTTTTTTTTTTTTTTGTAATCTATTCTAGAGATTTCCGAGTATACGTAGAATGTCATTGTTTATAAAAAATAAGTTAACAAATTATTAGGTTGTCACAAAAGTTTCTTTCGCTTTCTTAATAAATAATACATGCACGATAATTCATGTTTTATGTTACATTACTGAATTGTGCACGATTCATTTTGCCCCATTACTGTTACAACATGAATATCTATGAAATTAGATCGTCTATTTATATAAACACGATCACGTAAAATAATCGAGTGCAACTCGCGAAAGAACCTTTCGGGACAACCTAGTACAATTTTACATAGTTTTTTTTGGAAATTGATCGGTGTACGAATACTTTCTACATCCACTGTACGTCCCCCAAGAGTCTTCCTTTACTTTTTAAAGTCAATCCACGCTGAGAAATGCGAGGAACGCGATGAACTGCGATCGTTCCTAGACTCGCGCGAGGTGTATCGTTTTTTTTTTTTTTTTTTTTTATTCCACCGATTTCTCGTTGAATAAAGTCTAGTCGTTAGATGGGAAAATCGGCTCTCTCGCTGCATTCTTCCACGACTCAATCAGTCCAGGTGCGAAGCACTCGCGTCGGCTGCAGCCAAATACCGTTTCCATGGAGAAGAACATTCTTAACGGTTCGGGACTGCAGCTAACAGGGCGATTAAGTCGTAATACTTTTCCGTGGCAAAATGTATAGAGACTTGTGGCGAGTCGGAACCGTTTTCTTAATGACTTCTAGAAGTGAGAAATAAATTTGGTATTTAAGAATGGGAGCATTCGTGAAATTAAAGATCCTTTAAAGGTCCTTTCGGCCCCCTATTTGGAAAACGCTCGTCTCGAGAGTAACAGAACCGAAACGGTAAAAAGTTTCCATTCCTTCTCGCGGGAAGGAGAATGTTGGAGGAGGATAAAATGGAGGATAAAATAAGGATAAGGGGGATAAAATGTTGAAAATCGAGGAGGGAAATGTACGTTGGAAAACGGTTAATGGATTTCTGTGAGGGGAGAGAGGGGCTTGGCATGCAACAGGATACTAAATTGAAAGGTTCCAGGGGACATCGTTACGAGCCTGAGCAGAGGACCCGTGCACACAAACGGAAAGGGGGACATCAGCTGCTGTACACATGCTTTCACACGCTACCTATTTTGCATGGAAACGAAAGCGTTAAGGGCCTGTTTGTCACTCGACATTCGAGCACGCTAACGTCTAGAATTGCTCAGAATTAACCCTACAGAATGTTGCAAATTGAGAGATAAAACCAGAGATGGGCAAAACCCAAAGACTTCAGATTTATTCGAAGCCTAGGGTTTCGCCCATCACTGGATAAAACGAAGATTGGTACTTTAACAATTTAATACAAAGGCACAGAATTCATTTCTACGTCTGATATGTGGGACAGAAGGTGTAAAAGTAACGTTTTTTACAAACTCAAACGTGGAAAACCGAGCGAAATTTATCGCGCAAAACATGCAAAGGAATCTTCAGCGGTTGAGTCATGTCGTATCTGGGGCGTAGAGGATCGCGCGCGTTTTAAATACACTGTCCTTCTTGGCGCGTCTCGGAGGCGTCGCGAAACCAAACTACGACGCGAATGTAGAAGAATTCGCATCTTCCCAGCGATCAGGAACGCGCAAATTCGCGTCCCGTTCGTGTACCAGCGCGATGAAAATGCTCGCACGCGAATGCATAGATCGCTATCTCTCGCCTCTCGATTCAAGCGACGTTCGTGCTCGGATAGTATTCGTATTTTCACCCAATCTGTCTATAGCGTTACGGAAGGTTGCTTTTCGACACGATGGAAGTTTCCTTCTACTGTTCGCTACTCCCAACCATTGCGTCGGTAAAAGTAACCCCCTGAGACAAATCGTAGCGCTCGTGTGACGATCCAAATCGACCGCTCGGAGGTAGATACTGTCTGTCACGACGATCGAGGTCGCTCGAACACGGCACGCGTCATTCGCAACGTAAAAATCGTTGGCGAACGAAGGAGACAACGCACCGACGACGGCATTCTTTCGCTAAATAAGTTTCTAGAAAGGCGTAACGAGATTGCGAGGTTTCGATCGCCTACATTCGACGAACGAATACGTAACCTAGCTTTAATCGGTTTACGGTACATCTGCTCGGTTCGAACCACCTGCGCGCCAATCGACGTTTCCGTAACGTCGCGTTTACAATTCGGGGGGCACCTTTTCACGCTTACCTGTCACTTGGACGTGCGTCGGGCTCCACATTTTCGTCGATTAGGTCACAGGCGTTCGGTTACAAATATTCATCTGTTGTTCCTCTTGCGACGTACCGATCTACGTGACGACGGGTGCCGCGACGCCGGGCGTTGGCATTACGCGTTTGCGGTTTCCACTGTTTTACACGTTACAGAATCGAGCCGCGCCGACGATAAAATACTCACACGGTACGATACATGAACGAGAACTATACCTCGGTGCTGTTCGAACAACCGCTACGTCTACCTCGCGCATCGCGCACCATTACGGTGACTACTGCGCGTCCGACCTCGCGCAACCACCACGCTTACTCCCCAGGAACGAGCCACGCAATTCGATAGCCCTGTGTTAAATTTTTTTTTTTTTACAATGAAATTAATTCGCAGGCTACGTTAGTTTTTACTAGGATGACAGATAGCAAACTATCGGCAATGTAAAACACCGTTCAACGTAATTCACCAAATTTTCTTTTTCTTGGTTGCGGTATATTTCAAATCTTTGCGCAATCCCTTATTATACTTGATCTTTACACTCGCTTATTTTAAATGAAAGTTACTTCGTCGTGACTTTCGAAGAAAACACGCGACAAGCGTATTTGCACTTAGGCGAAATATACGAAGTTCGCGGAGAATAATATAGACGTTGAACGATGCGACGGCACGGTGTATAATCATTGCGATTCGTCATCGGTAAGATAGAAGGATACACGGATAGAAATTCAACGACCGAGTGTGTGTACACAACACGTAGAATTATGTAGATAATATCTGCGCATATTATATTTAATGGTAATTAATTTACCATGCCTATAATTCTTCCTAATAATTTAAAGGCGAGCTACCTTTTCTTAGAAACGTAAAAGGTTGCGTGAATATTTTCTGTCGCAAATATATATATGTATTGGGTTGTCCGGAAAGTTCATGCCTATTTTTAAGAAAAATTCAAATGCATATTTGAATTTCGATATATATTTATTGAATTATATATGTACCATTCTGTTCCACAATTTGTCCACTTTTTAAGGTATGTCCACATTTTATTTGTTTTCAACCATTCTGATATATTCAGATCCTGTACGACCTACTAAAAATCGGCATGGACTTTCTAGACAACTCAATACATCGCATTTAGTTTTAAATAACCGGCGAGTAATTACATCTTCATGTGTCGTCGGTTTCTGTAACATAATCGATTTTCTATCAGCGTGATTACGTTGGAAATGACTCGTTGATTCGTACGCAATAATTCTTTTGTTTACTCGTTCGTAGAGAACACCTTGATTGTTGAGAAGTTTCTCGTATTGTGTGTCATTTGAAATTAATTTTACATGGTTGGACATTGTTTTTCCGCTTTCATCGTTCCGGCAAGCGTGGTGCATTTTTCTGCTGAAGAGACAAAGCGACGTACCGTGCCCTGAAAAAAATGTAACGGAGATGAATATATTGGTAAAGAATTCCAAGTTTCAAATAAAACAGTCGCGCCGCTGCAATGTATGCAAACGTTTACGTGGCTTAGGTTTGTCGAAAGAGCGGAAACGCTGTAGCTGATAGCTGCATGATTGAATGCACGCGTTGCCATAATCACGGTACATTGGTATTCTTACGATTTCATAATGACATAATGTTAATGCAGGACTGATTCGTAAATCATAGATGCGCATCGTCGATTGCTAGAGCTGTGCGCACGTGGCACGTATGGAAATTGCTTCATAAATTTTATTGATGGCACATACGAGTTGCTACGATTATAATAATACTTCGTCGAATATCAGTTTTTTATCATTCACTAAAAAAACGCTTATCAAGATAGAAATACGTTGTTTCACGAATGTCGGGAAATTCTTTGAATCACAGGTTGTAATATTTTCCATTTGTTTTATCACAGATTTGTCACAGTATTATTATCGCACAATTTTACCTTTCTTTATCGCGATAAGCGCAGTTGTTTGTTACGATAGCGCTACGACGTCTGTTTCATTACGTGTTCTCGATCGTAAGCCATGCATTTTTCGTCCCGATCACAATAGCAATTTACGTGATATCGCGTGCATGGAACTTTATTTCCTTATCGATGGCTATTTTGTATAAATTAATTTGCATCGATATTATTATCGATTCGTATATTACCACGTGAAATCATAATTTAGAACAATTTTTTATTAAAAATGAATACCAGAAATTCTATAAAATTCTCTGCACGTTACCTTCTAGTATGAATTTCCATTTCTTTAAACGCGACATCTTATCGCCGACACGATATCCTATCTCTGTTTGAAAATGAACCGCAAAGGCTATTTTCATTCGTAGTAAGAGGCCGACGTGTATACTTCGGTTCTATACAACTGCACATACGCGTACACCATGAATATATGTACGCACACAGTGCACACATGGTTTGTAGGTAATGAAAAGGATATTTGACGGGCAATAAAAGTCAGCCAATAAAACAGTGTAAGGTGTTTTCTTACAAGTATTCGACGACGAACAGAACGTGTAATCATCCGTTTTCCGGACCCATTCTCGATAGTTTAAAGTCATGCATTGTCTGTTTCACGTATTGTCATGATTTTCTGCTGCAAGAAGCATGACCACGCTGCCTGATTCATTCCATTTGCGCTAACGCGTTCATGATTCACCAAACTCGCGTCGCGCAACAGGTGTCTAGCTCTTCTGTTCTTTCATAAACTAAGGATGGCCAGTGACAGCGTATGCAATAATAAAATAATATTTTCGCGTTACAATAACGACATATTTTTTAGTAGCGAAAAGAAGAGTTTATTTACATTAGTCTTTGACGGAAATCGCCTTTCTCACAAACCCGTTGAATTCAAATATTTTTCAAATTGTTTTCAGTTTTATGATTCGTCGACAGGTGGTGCTGGACTGATACCATGTGGGGATATTTTTCGGACTTACCGATAGAGGGCTATGAAAAGGAACCATTCTCAAATGTGCTACAACAGCACACAATTTTATAGATAAACGATCCTTAATTATTAATTCTATCAGTAACAGAAAGATATCACGTTTACATATTTCCGTATCCAAGGCACAGGCTTCGTGATAGTATTATAAAACTCACTGATGTATACAACTAGCAGATGCCAAGCGGAGTTCAGATTCGTATTATCGTTCCTTCCGTTCTCCAAATATCGTCGCTATAGTGACGCAAATGATAACAGCATATTCATTGCATCTTCACGAAACAAGCAGAGTAGGGTGTAGGCGGCATTCTCCTTCATTCTGGTCAATTCACCTTGCCCCACCGCTTCATAGTTTCAATTATTCCGACTCTCTTCCTCCTTGTGCTTGATCCTTCAGTTTCCGTCCGAAGTCTTGGACAGAGTCTCGCATGAATTCCTTCGGCGTTTTGCGTCTAGGAACGTATCGCTTCGGAGATCGAGGCATACCTGAGGATTCGTGATATTTCGAAGGATTTCAGCTGGAAGTGGCTGCTCGATCGCGGCCATTGGTGCACGTGACGCCTCGCGTACGCGTGAACCAAGCTTAAAGTTTCCAATCCCCCATGCTCGTCGTATTCACCGATCCACGACGATTCACGGCGGTGCGTACACCGCCAGTCGAATAATCGCCTCGTGGCAGGTGAGGACGAAAATCGGCGAGGCCGTGCCAGTCGTCTAGTCAGCCAGCGAGCCCGTCGCATGAGGCACGGACGGACCGTAAGGCCGCGCCTCGATCGTCGATCCTCCGCTGAAAATCTCCTCGTTACCGATCGTAGTGCGCGACACAGCGTGCGTGTGCGAGCTTTCTCGTAGCCATCCGCGTGTAGCACGGCGCGTGTTATTATCTTTTACTTCGTTTTCGTTCGGGTAGTCGTCCTATCTCTGCTTCTGCTCGCGGTCAGTTTCCGTTTCGTTCAGCGCGCTACGTTACAAGGGTCGGTGAGACATGTCTTCCCTGAAGGGTGATAAGGTGCCGTCCGCGCGGCTTTGCCATATCGTCAAATGGGACGATTTCGACGGTTACGGATTCAATTTGCACGCGGAGAAAGGAAAGAACGGCCAGTATATCGGCAAAGTGGACGACGGTTCGCCGAGTCAGGCGGCTGGTCTGCGACAAGGCGACCGAATCGTGGAGGTTAACGAGATCAACATCGCGAACGAGACGCACAAGCAGGTGGTCGAACGCATAAAGGCCTTCGCCAATGAGACGAAACTCCTGGTTGTCGACCAGGAGGCCGACGAATATTTCAAGGCCAACAACATCATTATCAAGGGTACCATGGCGAACATCAAGGTAATCAAGACCCCGGAGAAGAATCCCAACAGTGTCGACCAAGATGAGGAGCTCAACGATAGCAACGCATCCATCGACGAGGTGCGTATCTTACTGCGTATCTACTTACTAACGCGAATTCCCCAAATTCCACAAATTACGATTCGCAAAGTGCTAAACGTTGCGTGAAAATCCTAGCAGGGTCGTATAAAGACCGATCATCGAATGTCCACCTGTTGCTTCAAGCTATTCGTTTCAACCGCTGACAGAGAGCGATAGCTTGTAACACTTGCTTGATAGTGTATAGACCTTGCCCACGCGTCTATTATTCTTCACTTTCGAAGGTATTTCAAGAAATTATATGTATCGTGTAAGAACCGACGATAAAAAATGTATTTTAATGCTTTTAAGAACCGCATAATCTTCTCGAATGTACTATTTAATACAATTGTCAACGAAGCGATTAACTTGTATCGTGTTTGCGATTACCTTTAGATCTTGAGGCACGTGTCACGTCAATTCTATCGGTGCGGTAAGTGAAGATTTCTGCTCGGTTAACGCATCTCTGTTTCTCGTCCATTCCTGATTTTTCTAGAAAATTGTTATCGTTAGTCGGTTAGATTAAAAATCGATTTCAGTATTTATTTTTCTACCAGAATGGAGTGTTCTCACATCTGCCAATTCAAGACTCATACCTTACGCGTATCGAGGAGGATAATTATCGCACAAGATTCTTTTGGACTTATCGTTCTTGCTGTGATTCATCTCAACATTGTAACGTCGTGAACGGTCGTTGTTTCTTGATCCAGGAAAAATGACGGTCGTTTTTATATGCATATTTAGCGATAACCGTGTGTTGTCGAACTGCCTGCGGCTTCAACATCTGTGTTTACCACAGTTGGGTGGCAGAGCCGAGGAGAAAAAAAATTAGCGCGCCATACGGAGACCAGCGGCCTCAAAGCGAGCAAACGATCGAACAAATACGTAGAAACGGAGAGTTTGGATTTTTTTTCTCTTTCACTCTCACGAAAGGACTCTGTAACGTTGCGTGAGATGTGGGATTCGGATGATGCGCGCAGCGCCGTTGGCGCAAAAAATCTTCTTAACCCTGAGAAAGCTCATTTATCGAGCGTCGGTTCTTGTTCGATGACTCGCACGAAACACGAACCCTCGACAGCCGTGAGAAGGCTGTCGACGTCGAAGATCCTGTTTAGACCAGCGATGGGCAAAATCTACCTGAAACTAATACGTAAACATGTCACGGAAAATTGCGATGGAATAACGAGGAATTCGGTTCTTTATATTTCGTTTAAAGCTATCGTTATGAAACTGAGCACGAGAAAAAAGAAAATGTTATTTGTTCCAGTTTAATAGTTCGTTCTTATCGGTAAATGACTCGAGTGACGCATAGTGGTTTCGTGTGTATTGCAGAGTTTCAATTGAAAATTGAAACATGTACTGGAACATCTGAATATTAATTTCGAAAGTTATTTCTCGAAACCGAGTAATTTAGTTATACGTAAAAACTGAAAACTGTCGCCGGTTCAGACAAGATAGATACGAGAGTGCAATCGCTCTCGTATGTAAAAATAGACGGTCGCAGAGTTCGAAGCTTTTGTATACTGTCGCTAAACGTTTCTCCATATGTATTGTATAACTTGGTGGAAAAATGAACGATACAATATCGTGCACACACTTGTCTCGCCGGAACGAGACGCCACGAAACGATAAGGCTCGTAGGACTTCTTGATATCATTGTCGCAGCCTCCGCGAATTCTCGTTTTTCTCGCGACAGTTCTATTTCATCCTCCGTTGGTATCATCTGTTGTTTTTGCTGGAATTACATTTTCGTCTTTTCATGGAAACATTGCATATTGTTGTTGTTTGTTTTGTTTCGCTTATCTAATCACAGGTGTAAATTAAATGATAGCTTCGCAATTAGTATTATCTCTCTTAATCGGAAAGTGTTTCATAGAAAACTAGACAAATTTCTTATGTAGATAACAATTTCGAATGATTAATCGAAAAGATGTGCAATTTCTGACTCGCTTAATAAAAATTACGAATCTGAATCAAGAAAGATTGTAGCTCTTGAAGTAAAGTCAACTGCTTGGGTACATTTCCTCAAGGTCAAAAACGCAATTCAACAATTTTGCTTCCTCCAGAATGACACTTTGTCACCCTCTAAGAACTCCAGTTACGAGAAAAAGCAATATTTTTATTTATGGACTTCTTGCGCGATTATTTGGTCGAAGGTAAGCGATCGCGATCATCGAATGACTCATTCCTCGGGCTCGTAAACGATAAGATAGGTATAGAAGTGACGCAAAGATTCGTTTCGTTCCTCCTCAAATTTACAAATGCTTAGTTTGCCAAAGTAATAACAAATTACTTGGTTTACGATATCAGTCGTAACGTTTTCAAAACTCGGGGTTTGAATAAAAGGAGACCTTGAATGGACTCCCTAACTCGGTTATCAGGTGAAATGGCTTGCATTCTTATACGCGACGTAAACCATTCTCGGATGTAACAATTACGGCGTTAATCGTCGGAAGTTCCTCTTTTGTAGAACCAGCGCGTCACTGGCCTTAATTCGCGTTTCATGGGATTCGCGTTCAATCGTCTTTCCATGATGCACGCCAGCTCCCACGAGTCCGATCGTGCGAGTTTATCTCGCGATCGAAGATTCGTCCTCCGTCGATACGATTCGCCGGATTTCCGGTGATTTTTGCGGCGCAAAGTTACGTAAACTCCACGTTGCACCGCGCTTACGCGGTCGAAGACGCATCGTGACACACGTTACGTGTTTACCTACAATTTACTCACGAAAATCTGCATGCCGACACGAAATACGTAAAGATTGTTTGACGACAGAGGTTTCAGGTATTTCAAACAGACGAGTAATCTATACGGATTCTTATTTCTTTATAATTTCAATGTACATTTAGTCGCTGCAAGGCGTATCGACGTTCTTAACTCCCACCACTGAAATACCCTTCCTATGTCTAAATTTGTTAATGATGCATTCGTCAATTGGCAAATAGGACTAATTTAAAATGATATCGAAAGCTGTACGAGCAATTTCGTGTATAGATTACACGACCGTGTGGCGTTATTGAAAAATTTGATAAATTAAAAACCATCGAACCTTTCAAAGCCTTCAAAGCATATGTAAATTTCATTCTCAAACTTTCAATCTTCAAACTCTCTCTCACTTATTTCGTTAATGTGCGCAGTTTTTCGAGACAACCTAATTTGACGAGGATTGTTAGAAACACCTTTAGACGTCGCCGAGTTTGAGATAAGACTTGGGCAATCGACCGAGTTACGCCTGAGCAGACCTCGCCACACAGGATTCGTGAACGGAATGGTCGGTTGAGCTATGCGACGCGAAAGAGATCTCCACGTTCGGTTCCTTGAGCGTTAATTAAGAACATTGAAATGAAGTAATCCTTGGTACCTTTAAAAAAAAAATGCTGGATATCCTAGGCGTGTGCTCGATCACACGTGCCGGTGTATAATTGATCGCCTCTCTACAGGATAGTCAATTTCCTGCCACCGTTTTCTATTGCGCAATCTATCAACTGCGTACGGCATGCACAGCGCCGGCAAGAACGAGAGGGAAAACTGTTTGCTTGAAGCGGAACGTGCAAACGATCTTTCGTGATTTTTTTGTTGGCGTTACGTTAGTACGTACGCACGAAATGTCGTTGTTCGACTGCTGGAATGTTCCTCAAAGTATTAGGAAACAGCGTGAACGAATGGTTACATACGTAGTACTTGAGCTTGGACTTCATCAAAACGAGATAGGACCTTCCTGAGTCACGAAAGCCTTACGGAGGTTTCGATTTGTCCATTAACACGTTGATTGCCAGACTGATACTCTTGAAAATTGCTACTGTGTTTAAATTTTGTTTACAGACTACTGGAAACTACATAATCAAACATTTATTGTGGTATTTATTTTCGTGTCGTTATCGAAATTCAAGAATTTCATTAAAATTCATTTTCTTTGATACTCACCTTTTGGAATCAATTTTTTGAGCTCTTCAGTGAAAAGCTCTGTCACTCATATATGGGCGACGTGGCGAACAACGTGTTAAGCAAAGTTGCGCCCTCCATATATTTTAAACAAAGGAATACCTCCATGACTCCAGTAAATTTTCAGCACCTTCCCATCGTTCCTAAAGAGTAAACTTTGTAAGAATTCTGAAATTCAAAGGTTTGCCAGCGTAAAGCATTGTTAGTAAAATAGGTGGACTCTTTAGAGAGCCTTTTTCATCGCGTGTGACTTATTGGGAGGTTAACGATGTCACGGCGAAGTCGGTGAAATCCGTCGATGTAACCACTAACCTTAAAAGTCCGTTATCCGCTCTTATTCGATTTCCGTGTCTTCGGGTTGAAGCGTTTTTTCGAAGAAAGCGTGCCAAAAAGACACTGTCGCGTCCACGGCTGAATACGTATGCAGATAACGGGGATCCCCCTCCTGGAAGGAATCGGGCCGGCCAATGCATCGTGTACCCTGTTTGAGAATGTGTAATTAATTTCATGTTCGCATGTCTAAATTTATATCAGAATTTAATATGATAAAAAATAGCTATGTCTAACTTTTTGTAACGTCTTAACTTTTTGATCAGTATATCTCTTAATACATCAAAATCAAAATAAATCGCAATCAATAATGAAGTCATCCACCTTGTTATCTCTTCCCTATGTACTGTGTCCAATTTTGTTTTCACCAAAACTTCAAGCCAACACTTTCAACAAAGATAATCCGAGTCAAAGTGCGTTGAATCAAAGATGACCGTAATGGTAACGCGCTATCTGTTACATATCCTTGCGCTTGACGGAGCTAATTAATCGCTTACGATCGGTATAGACAAAGACGTTTCTCCAAGAAAATCGATAACGATCGCGGCCGATTTGTCGATTCCCCGTTTCCAGTTGCGGAGATAACGATTCCTCAACCTGCACGTTGAGACTTCATCGTCACTGGAAGATAATTGAATTGCGGGGTAGCAGTGACGGTGCTGCAATGCCGTGACACAGATTCTGTACATTTTATAGAGAGGCTACGCGTCGTCTTGACGCGTAAACACCATCTTTGCATGCGACTCCTGCCTCTTTCGGTGTCAGGCATTTATCGATGACAGCGTTATTGCTTGCGCGTGTCCAGTATCGCATACAGTGCTCAACCAAACCAGCGACGCATCACTTGGGACATAAACGATTACAGTACACACACATGATTAATATTAAACAGAAGAATTTAACCACCGATACGTGCATTTACTTGTTTTTAGAAGGATTTAGTAGGGAAAGATTTTTCTTCGGTGCGATGGAAGGAAAATTTTCATCAAATAAATTTATGGATCATCAAAAACGATGCAACTTGCTCCGAAAGTCCAATCGGAAAACACTTTCTTTCGAACAATATTATCGGTTGTATCCGGCCAGTACGTGCGGTATACGTCGTTTCTCCGGCTCCATAGCGATTTCGTTTTCGAGGTAATCAAACGTACATCCGCCGCGGGCGTGAAAATATTTCGTTACGAGCGCGTTTTAAATTGTAAACGGAAAAAATACCGCGGAGAAAATGAGTTTCGTTTTTTTTTTTTTTTTATTCCGGGGGTCGATCAGGTCGAATGGAGAGGACAGCCGACTAACATTATTTCGAAGAGATTTAAACGGTCTGTGGCTTAAAACCGGTTTACCGTCGGAGCTTGCCTCTATTCGATGGAATTCCTTTAAGTACCGTTCGGAATATTGCATCAGGATCCCAAGGTCGTTTATGAGTTTCTTCCACGAATTACGTGTTTTGTTTTCAACCTGTGAATTGTGTTATTATGTTTCTTATTCGGTGTTTATCAGCTCCGACTGTTTCCATTGGCGTTCTTCTGCGTTAACATGATCGCTCACTCTTTTTCAATCCTGATTCGTGGGAATAATGACGAAACGGTGCTTCCAGGCATAAATAAGACAGGTTGTATGACGGATATTTTCAACAATTTTTTGATCAATTTGACACGTCTTCGAATGTGTGCGTATTTATGAACGAGATCGTAATCGGTATCATTTGATTCGAGCGATGTGTCGAAAATGAGCTTCCATCCTCGAGCACCACGAATTTACAAACCGTCTATTCGTGTTTGTTCGTTACCAACATGGAGAGAACTGCGCGACGTAACGTCTACTAATGACCACGTCCACGCTTTTACTTTCTATCTGCGATCGTTAAAGCGAAATACTTGGCATTGTGTAACAAAAAATTGAGATTTCTCGCTCGACCGCGCCGTCAATGTCCACCTTGTTGTTTCTCGGTCTCCTGACATTTCGGTCTCCAGAGATTTCAAGTGGATCGCTAAAAAAAAAAATTCGTCGTGCTGTTATCAGAAATGGAATTTATTCGTGACGCTTATTCAATTGAACCTCGTGCCTACATAATTCGAGTAGCGCTTAAACAGTCGTTTATCTCTTAGGTATCATTAAACATTTTTATGTAGACACGAGCTGTGCTCATTTCTGGCTGCAGTCGAAATCTAGTTCTCGATTTCGAGTTCGCTCAGAAGCGCATGTTTGGGTAAAAAGTAGCGCGCCGCGCGATCGGCCTTGATACGTGACGCGAGTTTCTTATATCGTTCTTGTCCCTTTCTAACGAGCTACGCCGATATCTTTGTTCGGCAATTATACGAAGAGTTGGTGAAATCAACCGGCGATAAACGTCCTTGTAATGAATGAAATTATTGTAGGTCGTCGCGCGAGTAATGCACGGCAACTGCGTCGCTAGAACCAACGCAATTCTTACGGTATGCGTCAGGGTTGGGCAAGGATAGCTTTTGTAATATATTCGTTATTTTGTATAAATTACAATTGCACTTTTGCAAATGCACCGATTCACGCGAGGAGAAAATCTTACAATGGAATGCCAGAGGTCAGGAAACCTGAAGGGGGTAGTCTTCTAGTCAGTTCATCGTGAAGATCATTCGTATTACATTTAATTCTCATTATCTTCGTTAAAAATAAATTATGTGTACTCTCTATATATAAATGAACATGTGTGCGATTTCCCATGAAAAAATTCCTTATGGATTTAAAAAGAAAAAATTCAAAAGACCGCGTAGATTTGGAGCTCCCTTTTAACCTCTCGAGGGACAAATGAATGTTGTTCGTCTCCAATCGAATACACGCAAGCAAAAGCAATGTTGATCTCTAAATCAATTTTAACATACAAATATGATGTTTCGCTTCAAGAGGTTAAACTTGCCCCGTACGACTTCTGCTCGAGTCGGTAAAATCAACCTCCACTTTTTATTTCACGTTTAAAGATTCACGGATGATGATCTGAAAATGTTGTTCATTTTTTTTCAGAACATGCAGAAATCGAACGATGCATCGCAGAACAGCGAGAGCAGCACGGTATCGGCAGGTGCGACGAGGACGTCGACGAGGAGCGAGAACGAGAGCGAATGCGAGGAGTCGGGTCGAGAGAATGGGAACGGTATTAGGAACGAAACGACGACGGCGTCCATGGGTCACGTGCATGGCACCGGGAACGGTAGCGTCGGTGGCAACGAGCCACGGCAGGGCTTAAACCTGAAGATGAGCGCCAAGGAGCTCAGGGCTCAGCTCGCAGCGCGCAAGAAATACGATCCGAAGAAGGAGTCGATCGGTTTCAAGGACAAGTTCGACATCGTGCAAAAGTTATAACCGACGTTGTCCACCTTCGTTTTCGACGATCCTATCGGCTATACTCTGATCGCGGTGCTCCGTCTTGTCCCTCGATACCGGTAACCGATATCGTTCTCCACGATCTTCCACGATGTCTTGAGTGGCAAATCGATTCACCATTCTTTTTGTTGCCGTTTCTTTTTTGTCCTTGTCGAGCCGTACCGATACTTCACTGTGGTGTTTCGAGGAACTTCCTATTCTCCGGAAGTACCACTCGGTCGCTCCGAAATCGGTTTCTGTACAGAAACCGCGAACGATAGACGAATACGATCATCGCGGACTGCCAACGAAAACGTGACTCTTTTAACACGTTTGCGACGGATCGAACGATGAAAATTCTTCCTTGAATTAGACTACAACCTTGACTTCGGTATCGGGAAGGTGTAACCGCGTGTTTGCCGATGTTTAGATCGGGAGCGAGATTGACTCGCGACTTCTAACGCGAAAAACTTGGGAATAGCATTTAGAGTTCCTACCTCCGCTCAAAAATCGTTGCAGAGACGCGTCGTTTCGTTGCTAGACAATTTCACTCTTGCGAAACTCGACAATTGGCGATTGTGTGTACACCCTTCCGACACCAAGTAAACCGAGTTGTCCCGCTACCAACAAGAACGGAGTTTGCGCGGTCCAAGGACGATCACGGCGACGCGGGAGAAAGTGTAACGTTGCCACCGCGCGCCGCGTTGTCGCGTCGTTGTTAATTTCTGTTATCCGTTATCAAATTCAGGACACGCGTCGTTCCCCTATGTATCGTACGACGCGCGCACCGCGTCGTGTAACAAACAGTTTCGTCCGTTCGCGTTGGATCGCGATCCAACGAAATCGTTAACGCGCGAGCGAGCGAGAGGATCCTCGAGGATGGCCCGGTACACCTGCGTCGACTTATCGAGATTCGAATCCGTTACGTAATTTAAGGAATGTAACATCACCGGGCGGGAACGCGACACAATAGTGGGAAGAATCGCGCGAGTTTCCACGTTCGTCTCCGGAGTCGCAGGACTCACAGAAAACATTAGAGACTGTCTCGTACCCGATGTTGCTAAATATTACGACAACCCGTTGTGCAATGTTCAATTATCGTCGTCGTGATCCTTTTGCGTTGTGCCTCGTACCGCGTGCTAATACCTCGAGACTATTTGTTTTGCCGTTTTCGTTCGATACATATACGACTATGCCAGCGTTGGGCGAAACGTAATGATTAATGGTACGATTCGCCATAGTAATCGTGATCAATGATTAACAAAACGTTAATCGTTGCCCATTTCTGGTATTAGTATGCATGTCGTTTCAGGATAATTACTTCGTAAATTAAATATGGCGCGTCGTAACGAGCGGAAGTCAAACGAAAAGTGTTGCTACGTTATCATTGTTGTAATCAGTTGCTGTGAGAAATAGCTACTCGTCCCATAGGTACTCCGAGAAATGAATTACGTCACGATTTTTCTATATTTCATAAAGCTAAATTCACTTCGCGTAATTCTCGTCGCGCAACTCGCCGATATATTGCATTTATTACACGATCGATAAGTTGACTTCGCGATACCACCTTTCGCATTCGTCAAGGACGTAACACGAATATTGATACACGATTCCTGGAAACTTTACAGTAGTTACGTACACGGAGCCATCCCACGGTTAAAATACGATTTCTTCGTATCGCTGGAGCTACGTTTTATACAACTCGTCTATTGTCCGAGATAATTAGGATCGATACGATCGTCAGGCTCTTTCGTAACTTGAGCAAACGCTATTTTCCACTTGAAATACGATAAGATGCTTTTTTTTTTTATTTTAATCATTTCCTGTGCACGCCAGAGTTGCATCGTTTTGGTTTCGTATAAATTATACGCGTGTACGGAGAGACCTTTTTTTAAAATTTTACGTTTATCAGCGATCAGGAGAGTTTTGTTAAATTCCGTTTAATCGGGGACTTTGCGTATCGGCATCTAAAGCATTGCATTCCTTTTATCGCGCACCGAATGTCGAACGAACCGAACTTGGCTCGTAGATCTACGCAAACCGATCGGCTGGATCGAGTTCGATCAAGGTGAACGATCGAGTGGTTCGAAGGTCGTCCATCGTGATCTATTGGCTCTCGCTTCGCGCGGAGTGTGTTGTGTAAATTCTTTGATATATATATATTTTTTTTTTTTATTATTTTTATCGCAAATACTTTTGTGTGGTCTGATGCATAACAGTACCCGCTTCTGTACATATTAGATCTTCGTGCGTCAAGGTCGGTGCAACGATCGGAAGAAACGATCAATACGTCGTTTAAGTACGCAGGAATGCCGTAACGACTTGTCTCAAGTAAAAATTAATATCGACAGGTGCCGATAAATCATGCGTTCAACGTCGGTTTGCGGTATTTCTGTCCCGGCTAAAAATGAAATTGACGCACCGTTAATCAATTTTACCTGTCAAAACACCGCGGGGTACGCGTGCCTGAAAACGAGAGAAGTGTTTCGCCGTGCGAATCATTGCACCGGTTCCTTAAAATGTATATAAACATCCTGCGTAAGGTCCAAATACACACGTTGTTACGATTATTGCACACACGTCCAATGTTATTTGTAAGAGTTTAACTTTAAGCATTACGTTTGGCGACAAGACGACTTAACTGTACGTTATTCGTCAAATTACGTTAACCGCGTACATCTGTGTATAAATATTGTTGTACGTACTCGTGTTTGTTGCCTTTATTTCTCGTCACCTCGTTAAACAGGAGCCAGTATGACGAAGTATGCTCAAGCATTCAACAGGTCGGATGAACGAAGTTCTTTTTTTAGGTTGAGGGAAATTCCTGTCGTCCTCGGTTTAGACTTCTATAGTTTTGTATAGTTGAATATAAGGTGGAGAGAGTCCTTGAACATTCAAAACTTGTTAATCAGAACTAACAACAAGAGTAAGTAAACAAGATAATCGTGCAGAGCCGGTAAATTTGGAACTATTTACTGAAACTATTTAGCTTACCTCGGGTTTATATTTATTTCGCGAGAATTTTTAAAGTAGAGTCGGTTAGGAACAGTTCTTACGGTGAGAACAGGAACTACAACTCCGCCATTAAGTAAGTGGCGCCGCATAGCAGTATTTAGTCGTCCCTAATTTATCGATCGAGAACAGAGTTCATACAAAAATCGAAACATAAATTAATTTAAACGGTTTAACCTTCAACATCAGGTGGTTTGAGATAACGTGCTGATTATTCATTCTAAAATTCGATTCGAATGTTACTTAACCTTGTTCGTTTGCGATGCCTGTTTCAGATTCTTTACGCTGCTATTACTACATCAAATATGTTGTTCCTTTATGGATTATCAAAGTTGATGTACGATTTACAACAACATTTCGTTTATAAATCCTTTAGAATGGTAGAGATTGGCGTGAAGCAGGGGCAGACAGAATTTTGACTCATTTCCCTATTCCTCAAAAGAAACAGAACGTACTTACTTATAAAAGATGTATTATATCAGAACAGGGTGTAGGGCACCTAACCTAATATTCAATCGAACAATTACGTAGGTAAGATTCGTACAATACGAATTACAATTTCATCTTTTTATTTGAATTCTAATTGTAACTCGTTCCATATAAATTTGAATCATTCCCTAGTGAACAAGTGAAAGTCTAACCGTGCAATCGAATAAAATCTTATCTATCTTTGAAAACGGTAGATGTCAATGGCGTATTTTTGTACACGTCAATTGGCGATAACGTTCGTAAACAGTGAAAGAAAAAAAGCGTCGCGAAACGGGCGAGAGCTTCGATCATAATAACTTACCAGTAAATTAACAGCGTCGAGGTGGATCGTATAGGGCGTCGTGATGAAAAAAAAAGCGAACGAGGAGACCGCCAAAAAGATTAGTTTCCAACTGTAGGTGAAAGCAAGATGGCGCGATGTGCTTGCGATCGGCGCGAGTGAGAGAGAGCGAGAGGCGGACATATATGGTCGCGGGGTCCGAGAAGCTCTCAGGTTACGCCGACGGCGCTAACCGTTTTCACGATGATGCTCTCGCTCTCCTTGTTTCGTCGTCCCATCCTTTTCTTTCTCGTGCACCCGCGTATCCTTTCTCCTTCTCGATTCTCGACTGTCCTTTTTCCTTCGACTACCGTCGAGCGACCGTCTCCTTTGCTCGCACGCGCGCGACTATCTTCGCGTCTTCGTCGCGCCACGACCAAAAATATCGGCGATCGTGTAGCCGTGGGTGAGAAGGAGAGGGGACGACTGTCGCGTCGTTCGCGCGACGAAGACGGAAAACAGAACCGCGACGCGTCTTCGCGGATGCTGCAAGAGAGGGGACGAGGTTCTCGTTATTTCGAGATTATCGGGGATTGCCTGCTTTTTGGAATCGTGCCGATCGTCTCAACCACTCTCGATATCGAGTCGGATTCCCAATTTCGCGACTTACCGTAAGCCAGTGCCTCTCAACATTTTTTAAATTCCCTAAATTTTCCCCTAAATTTTAAGAAGAGGTATATTCGTACGCCACGATTTTTCAAATAGCGAAGATTATGTTAATATTTGAAAACTCTAATAATTTGTTGTGCTTAATCTATTGTTGTTGTTTTCTTTGCAGCGCACTCACATTCTAATCAGGACGCAGGCTTGGCTGTGAATGGAAATGTCCCACCATTAGAAAGAACCGTTAAAGGATAACCATTTATCATTAACATGGAAATGAGTAGACTGCGGATTTTATGCATTCACAATTGGTGTAATAAGGTTGTTATTTCATTCTGTATAAGGGCGCATACCTTTCTCAGCAATCTGATAATCATGCTTGAGATGTCGATGATACCTTAAGAGCTAGAAAACATTACCCAATTACGCACCGAGTTTGACGAAATTCCGCGCACAAGTAAAGTTGTCGAAACCGTTGGATGCGTATCTTTTATTAGCGCTGGAGACTTATATTTAGGGCGTGAAATCACCCTACGAAGTTGCGGTTTGGAAAACTGTTGATTCACCAGTGAAATATTTAACTTACGAAACAATTCTCCATCCCTTAAATTCGAAAGGTGGTTTCACCCGTTCTTAAAATGAAACGCTGCTGGTGAACACATATTGGTCGAATATATTCGACGACTGTGCCTCTCCGCAATGTTTTACGATGATTAAAACGTCTGACCCACTACGACTCGCAATTCCTCCTAGGTCTGATTCAGTATCAAAATACAAGTGAAAGATACTCTCTGTGCCTGTATAGAATCGTCAGGTTGTACAATGTTGGCGAATAATACGTGTCCGAGGATATTGAGTAACCGCGTGGGAGTACGGGAGACTAAGAATAGAGGGACAAGAAATGCAGAATCGCAGAATTTTGGGCCTCGGCTCTATCATTTCTGATATCGTTTCTCGTGTATATCAGACGAGGGCAATGTTCCAAAATAAGCACAACAGTTTTGTCTATTATTCGTTTAATCGAAACAAATTTAATCGCCAATGAAGAATTCAGACCGTCTCTACTGTATGCACGGTTCTATCGGTAAATTTCGAGTAACCTGAAGATTATTCCAACCAGAGAAAGCCGTTCGACGGAAAGCTTATTTGTCGAAGCCGGCCGAGTAGTTGCAGCCGAAACGACCGTGACGACATCGATAAAAATTTCGAATTTCGTTCGGTTAGGAATCCTCGGCGTGCTTTACGCGTCCTCAACGTTCGCGTGACGTGGCCTGAAAGCTGTTTACGACATTTTCTCGCTAAAGTATTCCGCGGTCTTGTTCGCACCGTGACACGGATATTAAATCGCCGAGCAACTACCGGCGCCCGCGCGCAATTACGACATTCCGAGATGGCTAGAATCGCAAATCGTTGACTTTAATTCAACGCCGGTCGACCCGTTGTTGACGGTGTCGCTTACCAACGCGTGTTGTTCGAAGATGCAATTTCTCTCGAAATAGACATCAGCCCGCTAAATAAATCGTTCGGCACACGCGACAAAACTCTCCGACGACGTTTCGGTGCTCGCGTGGCTCTAGCGTCAAACTTTCGTAAATAGTAGGTCCATGTGTTTTACGACCGGAGGATCTAAGCGCCATGCGCAGCTGCAGCGCATCTTTGCGGGTCAATGTTAGAAATTCGTAACAGGGTAGGCTGGGATCGATCGCGACACAGGTCGATCGTAAGAAAGCCGTATCGTGTCATCTGTAACCGATAGATAAGGTATACTTCGGGGTAACTTCGGCAACTGAACGGTTACCGTGGTTTCTTAAGTGGCTTGGAAGATATAGATAGCTGTAAAAAGCGTGTGCTTTGTCACGTATCCCCCAAGCTCTGACAAGCTTGTACATCCAAGTTTCGAGAGGAGCAGCACTGTTTACACATGGCTAACGACCTGTAGCGAATGGTTAATATTTCTCTTGGTCTCTTAGAAGGTTCTAATGATATATATTTAAGGAAACTTCAAGCTCTCCGACACCTGTTCGTATCTCGAAAAACTGAAAATCCTGGGAAAGCGAATTCCCCTACGCGACGCGTCACGCGGCAAGTTCGGTGCATCTGAACTTGTACCTTCATCGAGAAGAGGACAGGTGTTCTCGGCGGAATCCACGGTTCTGGGGTGGATCGAGAAGTGGTCGTTCGTGATACGCGGTTGTACGCATAATAGGGGCCGGTATCTTGTCCTGTCCTCGCACTCATAACATCTATTTCCAGAGCGGACCGACGACTAAGTTTAGATCGGCTGTTCCATATACTCGAGCCATTCGCCCACTCGGGTCCACTCGCTCGAACAAAATCTGATAATCGAACAAATAAGTGATCCACGCCCACGTCGTCAGCGTTTATAACCCCCCGCCGTCTTCTTCGAAGGCTCCGACGACGTCCCGTGCGCCTCGGTTTTTCGTTTTAATGACTATTAAGCGTTAGATGGATCGGGGCGGTGCCGAGAAACGAATTGGTAATAAACGTACGGCAAACGTTGCTCGTAAACGTAAGCTCTGCAAAGATGCGAGGAGATAAACACAGTTCTGCGAGCGAATTACATCGCGATACTGTATTTAGGTCGGTCAAGAGAGGGCGATACGTATCCGCGCGAGATAAACACTTCCTCGAGCTCGCGACTTTGAATCTCTCCAGGAGTCGGGAACGCTCGTCGCGTAAATAGAGAAGTCCAAAGGATAGAATTAAGTTTTGTTTAAATACCAAGATTCGAAGATAATAGATCGAAGGCGTGTCAACCGAATGAAGACAGTGGACGCAGGAATGAAAGAATTGCGAAGTAATAAGCTGCCGCGATGTTACTTCTGTTTTTCTTTTTTTTTTCGTATCCCGGGCTAAAAGTAACGCGTACTAAAAATATTTCGAGCATAAAGTGCGAGAAATTCTAGCGCCGCGGTCCATTCCGCTCGGTAACGAACGCGTGACATTAAGTCTCCTCCCCGTCAAACTTGGAGATATATTAGAAGAACCGTGCTCTATGCAATGGTATAGAATAAAATCGTGCCCATCATAAATTTATTCTAACTTTCATTCAACCAGTAACAAACGAGAAGCTGTTTATCTTCTCTTCCTTATTCAAATTTCCTATTCGGCCTCTGTCGCTTACGAAACAGAGGGTGCCATTACCGTAACGTAAACGATCCGAGCATTGCTCACGTTTCTGAGATCTTCTCTGGGTTTTTATCTCTTTTGACCCTCGCGTGCTTGTTTCCGCGAAACCGCGAGATTTACGTAGCGCCGCGAATTTGCTTATTTGCCCACAGACCGTATACCGCGTACCCTTCTTTTCGAAAATCAATCGCGCGAAATCCCGGTTCAGGCGTATTGTTGTTTTCTTTTGGAGTATTCCAGTTAGCTTTTCACGGTCGTTTCTCGAACGCGCGTTCCTTTAACGCCGCCGAATGGTGTAAACCAAACCATCGATCGTACAACAAAGTTTTAAGATTTTCATCACTTTCAATTGCGCTTCGTAATTTCAGCTGGTATCGTTGTACGTGTATCCTTCGATAAACATGCGAATATCCTGGAGCGTCCTGGAACGTCCTGGAGCGTCCGTGAATCCGAAAGAAATAAAAGAGAACGCTGAGATCGCTAACGAGGTATAAGCAAGCCGATTGATTCTTGAATAACGTCGGTAGCGATCCGTGGAACGGTGGAAGTACGAGTGTTCGGGTCGTTAGGTATAGATTCTAATACGCAAAGATAGATTCAGCGGTGAGGGGCGATCGTGTATATTTAGAAAAGTGGCTCGGCTTGCCAGAACCGAGAGAGACTCGTATCTCGGCATCGCGTGCGAGATTTCTCCCTCGAAGCTCGCCTTCACCCTCTCCATCTTCCTCCCGCGTTATTCACCGAGAACGTTAACACTTTCCGCATGGGCACCCCAGACTTTCCTCGCTATTTTCCCACTTTTCTCCGGTTCATTAAGACGACTCGCGAAGCGGTCCCAAACCTGGAAGTCGCTGGACCAGACTCCCTAAAAATACAAAGCTGACGCGTTCTTGAAAATGTGCACAGGGTAGTTCCAGAAACTGAGGCACGCGGCAACGCATGGGATTGGATTACCTTTCGATGGACGAACTGTGCAATAAACACGTGACTCTCGCGTGTCACACTCCCGCACCGCAAAATTGATCCTGGAGAAATATACAGTCGTCGAATGAAACTAGAAATTCCGCATGGAATCCCGAATGTTTCGAGCACTGAATTGCTTCTGAAAGGAGAAAGTAAATTCCGGGAGTAAATATGGACTGCAGGAAATTTTCGCGAAGATATCGACACGGTGGGCTCGATCGGTGTTTTGAAACCCAGCCAAAAATGTTCCACAGAAATTAGAATACCACTCCCGAAACCGAGAGTCGCGACGAGTATCGTGACTCCTGAATCGAAAGTCCGTCGTGTATGAATTATATAAAAAAAGCCAATTAGTCCTTCGAATTGTCGATGCGAGCGAAAAACATATTTTATTTTCGTCGGAAACACTGGCCAAGACCCACTTTTTCTTCGCACGGTGTTCTATTTCCTGTCGCGACGAGTATCTCTCTACTTTTGTTCGAGAATCGAGCCCGAGTGACGAATCTTCCAGAAACGATTCCGTTTCGTGGCTACAGATCAACATCGAGCGACTTCGGCTGTGGAAATCGATATTTCTTATTCGTAGCTGAAAGCACGTAGTCTTGAAAGTATGCTCCGCGAAGTTTATCTTAAAAACCATAAGGTTAATTCTATTCGCTGTTTAACCCTTAGATTTGTACACTTGCAATTGGTTTGTTTTTAATATCTGCTTGTATGTGTGTTACCGTTGCATAATGTTCTTCCGAACAAACATTAAAAAAATAAACGTCAGCTGTCGGAATTATTCAAATAATAAATACATCGATACTCCTTTAAATTTAATTTGGCAAATCAGGCTTCCAAGGGTTAAGCGAGTCGCGTTAGAGCCCTTACTCTCCGACCTCGGAATTTTCTCGATGGCTTCGAGGTTCGCACGTCTGTCGCAGAGAAAATAAATATAAATGTCCCTAAAATACCAGACTACCTCGCCGAGTCATCCACCATTGTATTATACGAGCGAATACATTCTAATTTCGATCCAAGGGCGTCAACGTAAAATTCTTACACGCTGACTTCTCGCGTCGATCGACCCCGTCATCTGGCTAATTTAGCAGCATCGGTAATTAATCTACTATAAAGTTTATTTTCTTTTAGACTTCTTTCTTGGTACCCTCCACCTTGGACGTTCGCAAACGTTTAACCACGCGTCGTCCTCTTCTATTTCCACCTTTGTTTTCTGAAACTCTGAGGACGACTAGCTCGGGA